GTCTCCGGTGGCTGCAGTAGCCATGCCGTTAGTTGGACGCCGTCGCGCACAACGCGGTTGGGAAGCCAGTCGTGACGCCGCAGAGTCACAGCGCTTGCTGCTTGCAACTGATGTGAGTTGGCAGCTGTGAGAGGGCTTTGCTCCCTTCTAGAAGTTCAAGTAGGACTAAAACAAACGGGAATGGCCAGCAGGAAAGCCAGGTCACTCCCTAAAAAGAAGTTATTATAAACTGTCATTGATTTACTCTCCTTGCAAAGCTAGAACAGGTGTGTCCTATGGGCACAGGCTGTGGGTAAGGTAGGGATCCATGGCCTCCTACTTCTGAGGGCTGGACATCTGGCTGTGCTGCAGATCCTGCTTTGATATAAATCCTGCGCAGGGGAATATTTAAGTTTAGGGCAATTCTTTCTTTCCCTTTCCTACATTTTCTTTGTAACATCCATTGCACTTTGCTCATGTGACAAAGTCACCCTCTTCTTCCCTCTAAAAGGTCATTCTATTCATAGCACAAATAAATTTTGTCCACACTGAAAATAAGCAAAGAAATACACAGTATTTCTAGAGGAAGTGGTAAAAGGGATAGGAAGGAACTGTCCTAATTGCTGCCTGGCTGGCCTTAGCTGTTTACACGCCTGTATCAAGTATTCTCAGCACTGCTCTTCCTGGGCCGTATCTAATTTTTCAGTTCTCTGTTGAAAAGAAGGAAATGTCCACATTTGTTCCTTTCTCTACTATACAAAGCCTTTACAGATGTGTAATTGTGTTTGCATGTCTGGTACATAAAGCTGTGTGCAGTATGTCTGGCCACCAGACAACGTGTGAACTGAATTTTTTAATCAGCAGAGGATACATTTTTCTGGGGTGCTATATTTCCAGCAACTGCAGCTTCTTAAGAATGGTGGAGCTGGGGCCACCCTTCATCCTGCTAATCCTCAGCTGCTGGTTTTGGCCCCTTTGGAAACATTAGTAGCTGACAACATTTATGTCAGACTTCTTGCATGTTCATGTTCGCAGCAGATGACCACTGTAAACTCGTGTTTTATTCAGCTGTTCATGTTCCTATCTGCTGTAGCAAGTTAGAGGTTTGGAGCAATCCCAGTACTTGGTGGAAAGGAAGTACTGAGTTTTGGCTAGCGTAATGACATCTCTCTGGCTCTGTAAAATTTGTCCAGTTGCCAGAAAAGCGTAGCAAATTTTTGCTATAGATATGTAATATAAGACATAAAATTGAGCTTATTTACTTGATATTCCAGTAATATTTATTAAAAGATTTTGATCTATGGAATGTAAATTGTCAGTAAAAATATAAAATGAAGACTGGAAGGAAGAAGTCTTCTCGAATGTATTTTAATACTCAAGTCATAGTCCTTTAAATCTAAACACAACATATATTTTAAGTAAAGAAACAGTAGACTTTTCAAAATCTAGGCCAAAAAAATAATCAAAATTATATCCTTATAAGGGTAGCAGCAAAATAATTGATATGTATGAGTAGGAGCAAAGGATTTGCAGCAATGTTGTAGAGTAATTAAAGGATACTGGCTTCGGGCTTGCTTTAGCTTTTATGTTATCCTCTTCCATGGGAAGACTTTGAGGATTTTTTTTTTTTTCTTTTAACTTGATTTTATTACTTCAGATAACTTACTCTCTTGAAGGCTATCCAAAAAATAAATAATCTGAAAAACTTGCTCCTTTCTTAAATTCATGTCACTGGAATATTTATTATACTGTAGAATGATTTTGAATTCTGGTACTTTCATGTGATATTCTTATGCCTGCACAAGAATTGTAAATTATATATATCATAATGACACTACACTTGTGTCTTTTGACACCGTCAAAATCTGAGTGTCCCAACATACTTACCTGTATATTGCAACATGACTGGAACTTTGCTGTGTGCTTACATTTACCATGGTTAATAGCTAATTGTTTCCTCAATCCATGGCTTCAGAAATGTTGTGGTGTTATAGGGACTGAGAAGGAAAGACAAGAACAGCTTTATATATTTAATTTTTTAAATATCGAGCTTGCAACAGCAGCAGTTAATGCCCATTCAAAATTTTCAAATTTTTATATGAAAATTTTGTTTATTTACACTCATATTTGGCTGATGTAAAATGCAGTTACTTTGATGTAATATGTTCTAATAACATGTAAAACAGTTGAAAATTATTTTTTATTTTTTAATTTTTTTTTATTTTTATGCTATGGAATAGGATGTAACTTTTTTACTACCATATTAGGAAAACAGTATGGGTAGGATGGATTGGTAGTAGTAATTGTTTTAGTTTCATGTGTGCCTTCCTCTGATTCCGTTGCTTTTAAGTTATGCACTCAAACTAAATAGTGCACTGTAAAGTTGATGTATGCTTTGGAACTGTGACCCATTCCAATTTTAATACAACCCCTTCAGAAAACACTGATCTGAAAAGGTTCCTCTGCTGCTTTCTGTCTACAGGTTCATCACAAAGCCAGATATTTGCCTGTTATTTGAGAAAACTACAGTTTTAGTTAAAGTTTATATGATCTTTCATGTTTATGTTCACTATGTATGTTATGCACACTGGAATTTACTCTGGGGAAGGAGGGAAGGCTCAAGAGTCATAAATTGGGGTGACCTTTCTTTGCAGTAGCTGCAGCTGTCCTCTCTATGATGAGAAACATGATGAAGATATATTACTGACCTTGCATCTAAGCAGGTATAGAGAGGCCTATGACCAGGATTCTCAAATTTAGGAGGTTAAAATTGGGTCCTTAAATCCATATTGAGGTGCCTAAGTAGCTCAACTTACCTTTTACGACTATAAAGAGAAAGTAAAAGCACATTTGAAAATCAAATTGTAGTACTTGTGTATCTGAATATATGTGTAGATGCTTAATGTTGGGCTCCAGAATTTAAAATGTTGGCTTTTATATTCTAAGATACCATGAGTGGACTCTTAAATGACTTCGAGTGTGGTTTGATAATCCAGCATTACCTGCTGCTACAGTATGCTTAGGAGAAAATTCCCCCCACATCTGTTCTCACGTCTTAGTGTCCATATACTGTTGTGTCTAGTTTCAACCAGTCTGTGTCCTCCTCTTGATGACTGTGGCAAGTATATTTTTTAATGCAAAGACTGGTGTAGACAGTAAGTTCCAGCACAAAACATGTTTCATGCTGAAATGTGGTGAATTCCTAAAATGGCTGTGATAGGAGAGGACAGAGTAGTTGAGTCAAGGAATTATTAGCTAGGCAATCAAATTAAGCTAATGAAGAGACATCTGCATTTTCTTTGTTGAGGGCAAGGTTTCACTTCAGCTATGCAAATCTGCTGGCTAGGTGCTGGTGAGAGGAGTGCTCCTGCTCTCTCTCTGGCCTCAGTAATGTGCTGTGCTCATGAGAACATCTCAGCCAGTTCAGAAAGAAAAACCATCAGAGAACTATCCCAGGAGTAGAAAGTTATTTTCCTAGGTTAGCTTTACAAGCTGGTTCTCTCAGGATGAAATGAGATGAAGCAGAAATGGTCTTACCGCTTGATTTAGAACATGAAACCTCACCTAGAGGCATGGCCATCTTATCTCCTAGAGAGCAGGAAAAGATAAGAAATTACAGGGGGAGAGATCTGTCTGGGCCATTTTGAAGACTTAAAAGTCTGTACTGCTCTACTGAAGGGGCGATGCTTCCTGAGGATGTTGTTCTGTAATGAAGACATTTTCTGTAATGAATGTAACATGACAGGTAAAAGCATGCACTAAGAAGGGGATCCAGAAAGTTGTCTTGTCGAGTAAGGAGTGAGCTGGCTTGTTCAAGGAGTGGTTTAATTTAAGTAGGTTTAACATGCAGGTTTTCTGTCATTTCTTATATCTTTTAAAAATATTTGTAATGTGTTGCGTATTTTATGTTGCGTTTATGGCATTTCATCCCAACTGTTACAAAGTTCGGTATAATTTTAAAGTTACGGGACATGAACAAACCATCGCTCACCCAATTTTTGGGAAGTCTGTTACCTGGAGTAAGTTAGCAGGTACCTTACTTACCCTTTCAATTGTCTGGAGAATGTGCTAACAGAGAGGCAGAGGTCACATGGAGGATTTTGTGGTAACTGTCAGGCACTCTGGCATACAGCAGGGTACTATGGCTGATATTTCCATGAGGAAGGTCCTAACAAGATTCCTAGTGCAGCAGCCCTGCCTCACAAAGTATTAATCTTCTTGTTTAATTTAATTTACAAGGTTTTGACATGTTAACTTTGTGTAGGCAGATTTTTCTGCAAATACTGAGAATTTCGGGCTCTGACAGAAATGTGATCATGTCCCTGTGTCTGGCTCAGGGCAGGTCAACCGCTGAGTGACCTTGTAGTGCACAAATCTGGTGTCAGTTATGAAATAGATTTTTGTGAATCTCTCCTGCCCTGAGCACGGTACTCATGGTAGATATAAAAGGAGGGGGGAAAAAAAAGAAATTTAAAATAGAGATTGTAAGACCTTGTCATTCAAGAAATACAAAATTTGTAACAGTGAGAAAGTCTAGGGTAAGGTAAGTATCACCAACTTTGCTGAAATGTAGTTATGCCTACTGCAAGTTCAATGATCAGTAGCCAGTGCTGTAAGAATACTCTTTTGCTATTTTCTACAGGGAAAGTAGGTTTCAGAAACGAAGTTAATAATTTCACTGCAGCAAATGGTATCTATAGTTCTTATGATTAATAATATAAAAAAATGTAGAAAAAAAAGGTGACATTTTCAAGAATAAGTGTGAAAAGACTTCTGATCTCAAAGTGAGATTGTTCGCAGAATTTTGGTCAATTACAGTTGAGTTACTGTTTTAAATTGTAGCTCAGATGCATTTTGGATCACAATTCTAAGTTGTGTATCTTACTATATTGTAGAAGTCTTTATGATCAGGATTTTTGCTTTTCAATTTTTGTCCTGTATCATATGTTTACAAAATAGTGATGCATCTTTTCCTTGTACCATGGTTCAGGTCATGCTGACCATAATGGGCCTTCTGTTTAGTTTTTTTTTTTCGTATGTTTGCCATCCTTCAATAGAAAAATTTAACAGAACTTGCTGAGACCCTTTTACTTCACACTGAAAAACACACTGAAAAACATTGTATGTCTAGTGTAATTAGCACTGGAGATGCACTGCTTTTCTGATTAATTGTTTTTCTGTAATAATATATTGTCTTTTATACCATGTTGTTTTGAAGTCTCTGAAACTTAATCTTTACTGCACTAAAACTGGCATGAATCTTTGATGATGCCAGTTTGCTATCTTCTACAGAGATCTTTCACTGAAATCAAAGAATTGGGCTAATTTGAATTATAAATACTACTTTGACATGAATTTCCTGAGTTACTTGTTGGACAAGTCATGTAACCTTGCATTGGTTTTACCTGCTATATCCTTATCTATATGTTGCATTTGGATTAGTCATTAGTAAAGAATGGAGAGATGCTTAACATCACAGAACAAAATGAGAGGTACTAAGTGTTATTTTATATTACTGTTGCACACAATACTGTGTTTGGTCTGTTCCTTTTACACATAGATGGCGTGATGGCATCTGATGATGGTAATGAGTGTTGGACGTGGGACAGATTTAAAACTGCTTTCCCATCACTTTGTCTGAGCTCTGTGCCCCACTGCCCTCCCTTCCACTCCTGCAACTGACAACTAGGAGCAGTCACTGCAGTGTTGATGTAGCTGCGAAACAGCTAGGCTGTTTTGCAGAACTATTGCTGTTAGTGTGAGACTGGAAAAAGGGTAGTAAGTTTTGAGAGGAGGGAGCTTGGGCAGAGAATGGGGTCATAAGAAACAAGCATACCAGTAACGCTAAGACAGACTCCTCTGCAAGGGGGAGAGAGAAATTTAAAGGAGAGGAAAGAAAAGAGACTGTGATTATGAAAAGCAGAAAGATGACTGGAATAAAAATGAGACATGAGGAGAGGGAGCTTTTTAAAGAGGCGAGACATTTTCGTTCTGTTTCAGTGATATCTAATCCTCATACTGTCAGCCTTCATCTCCTTTTATCTCTACTGTTAATATGAATTAATAATTATGATCTATTACATCTTTTTAATGTCATGATCTATTAAAAATTCCCAACCTCAGCCATTATCTTATCACTTTCTCCTCATTCCTGTCAAAGTAATAAAGGTTGTTGTTGTTGGTTGTTGTTATTATTATTATGCACCATATAGCACCAATTCACATATGTACTAGGTATTTATTTATACCAGAAGTCTGCTTGCCAGTAGAAAATGAGCTGTTCTGTTTTCTCTTTTGCATTACACCAGTATTAGTGGTAGTTGCCTCAGACAAAGTTAAGCAGATCTGGTGTACTGCAGTGTTATAAAAGATGTTGCCCTTCTCTGGAGCTTTTCAGAAAGCTTTTCCACTTCTTGCTAATTGTGTATGGTCTGGTTTCAGTGTGCAAAATGATTGCAGAATCTTCTTTCCAACCAGTTAGATACTATTGTAAGGCTGAGTTTTGCCACCAGGAAGGCAGAAATTTAGGATCACTATTTTCATCTCCTTTTTTCAGATATCCAACTGCCAAAGGAAGATGAGGTTTCAGTACCGGTGACTTCAAGCTCCCCAGTTAAGGACACTGGGGAGAATGTTAATCTTGCCGTTGAACAGGAAGAGAAGATGAAAGAAGAACCTTTAACCATCTCAGAACTGGTATACAATCCTAGCGCCAGCTTGCTGCCCACCCCTGTTGATGATGAGATTGACATGCTCTTTGATACCTGTCCAAGAGTAGAGAATGAGAAAGATGATACAGATTCATTTGAGGAACTGGAAGCAGATGAAAATGCATTTTTGATTGCAGAGGAAGAAGAACTGAAAGAAGCTCGGAGAGCACTTAGGTGGAGCTATGACTTTCTAATGGGCAACATAGAGGTGAATGCCTTTGTGAAGAGTTTCTCTCAACTTCTTCTTGTAGGCCTTGGACTGTTGTTGTTTGTGTTCCCTCTTCTCCTTGTTCTCTTGGAGTCGGACCTTCAAATCTCTTTTCTCCATGAAATCCGTCAGACGCCGGAGTTTCAGCAGTTTCATATTGAATATTACTGCCCCCTTAGGCAGTGGGTGGCTTGCAAAATAAACTTAATTTGTGACATGCTGGGCAGCTTTTAAATTTTGAATAAATATGATACAACTAAGGGCTATATTCAAAATTTCAGTTAGTGCCAGCTTCCCATAATGCCCCTGGGGCCATCAGTTGATAGCTGTTGTCATATCCAGTTCATTACCGACTCTTTGGGTTTTTAAGTTCCCTTTACATACTTAAATTGCCCTTTTAGTTACAGGCTTATACAGTCACCTTTCAGTAACCAAAAAGAAACTTTATTTTAATTGCATTTCAGACTTCCTGCTAATCTATTACATCATATAAGACAAGGTCACAATAAGTTTCCTTGTCAAACCTTTCAATCCAAGACACTAAATCCAATGAAACTGAAAGAAACTTTTTTGAATATACTCCTTAGTGCAGCAATCTCTTCTAACCAATGCCTATACAAGCAATGTTTATGCTGGGTTTTTGTTTCTGGTTTGTTTTTCTGTTTGTTTGGTTTTTTACATTTTTATGTGTTTAAAATATTTTGGTAAATTTTTAGCAAAAGATAACTTCTGATGTAACTTAAACGTACAAATTGGTAAGAATAATGCACAAGGGCATGTAGGGTGTTTCTAGTGTTTTAGCAATGATTTGTTTTTAAACTACTGACTGGAGAATGAATGAGTTTAATACAGGTCTATACAGAGAAACTGTGGTTTGGGAAATAGAAAGTTCACTCAAGTTCAGTAGGGTTTGCCTGGGAGAGGTGGAAGGACACCAAGTTTGCTGAAGAATTTCTGAAAGGCACAGTTGTAAAGCTTGGGGAAGTGATCAGAACTGAAAGTAATGATCCTTCCTCTTACCAGTCTGGTTGTCTTACACTTTATCAGTGCTGTAGAAAGTCTCAAGATAGTCTAAGTACCTTTTCGAAGAGAGTGAGTCTTCAGTCTAAGTGTAGATTATTGTATATAACATGGAAGGAGATAATAGTAAGTAGCAAAAAAAAAAAAAGGAAAAAAAAGAAAAAAAAAAGCCAAAACCCTAGCTAAATCAGTAGGTGAGTGACCTACTTTTAAAAATGATAGAGAAGAAAAATGTATTCCTTTTTAAAAGCAAAGCATTAGGCTGTACAGTTGACATAAAAGTATTCTACTAAATCACAGTTAAAGGCTTAAACACTTTGAGATGCATCTTCATCCTTGATGCCCATTATGACTAATCTCTAAGACAACATATTTTCTGTGCAGACTAATATGCTTCCTTTCACATATAGCAGCATTTCCCTGTTACTACAAGCCCAGTTACATGATCTAATCCTGTTTCATGTAACATTGATTTGTGTATCTAAAGGTATTCCAATATAGCTTAGAGAATATGCTTAAGTAAAATCTTGTCAACGCTGAGAACATTTGAAGGCCCTCAAACATACCACAGAGGTTGTATTTAAGAGGAGAAAGTTTTTATTTTCCCCTCGTCCTGATCTTAGTGCAGATGTATTTCATATTTAAACTAGGGAACTCTGATTTTGGCCTCAGAGTCTTTCTCCTGTTTAGAGATTTAGGAATTGGAGACATATTTGAGGCTGTTCTATTAGATGTGCATTTAACACATTGTAACCACATCTCTAATTCCTACTGAATTGATTCCTTTAGTTTTGATATCAGAGAAGCCTTTTTGCTTGGTTTACTCATGTAAGCCTTTGCAAATGTCTAGTTTGAAAATTCCAGTTTCCTTAGAGGATATTCTCCTTGCCTTCTAATCTTCTCCAGTTTTTAAAGGACAAAACAGTTACAGGGCTTAGGAGTTCCTTTTCTCAGTTGAAAACTTTTGGATTGCTATTAATTTCCCAACGAACAAAGGTTAAATTAAAGAACTGCCTTTTGTTCTTGTCTTTCTTTGTCCTTGCCAGTCTGTTCCTCAGAAGAATCATTATTGATTAGTCACTTGATGTGTGTTTCTTCTTGTGCTACTTGCAGCTAAATGATCCTTTCCCCTGAGGTAATAATCATTCAGCCTAATAGAAATGGAGAGTGAACTAAAGTAGACATTTGGCTTTAACGGGAAATTATTCACTTGCATTGTTTCTAAACAAAGGTGTCAGAAAAGGTGTTTGGGTGGTGAAGGCTGTGAGAGCTGGCATCCTGCTGGACTATGGAGACATGGTTCCATACAGGCTCCTATATAAGTCTGATAATTATTTAAAAAAAAAGTTAGATCCTATGCTCTAAAATATAGCCATGTCCCTGTAAATTACAGCACTCCAGAAGTAGGAGTATTGTTATGCTTGGTTTAACTCTATCAGAAAATAGCTGAGTTGCATGAGAACATAATCTCAGAAAATGTGCAGTGCAGTGAGGTTTTATGTAGGGTTAAATGCAAGTGTGTGTGTGCACATGTGCCTGCCTTCACTAACCATGTGCACACATTCAGGCCTGGCCTTTTAAAATTCGTCCTTTCCTTCCTGATGCTCTCTGGTCTATCAAAGTAATTTAACTGGAAGTCATGAAAGTCCTATAACTTAAAGGCCAGGACCACGTAATACAGAGAAGGATACGGTTGGGCATATTCAGAGAGCGCAGCAGTCTAGTATTTTACTGGTGAGGATGACACACTTGGATTATGGAGCATCTATAGGTACTGTATTGTGTATTTCTGTCTGTGCTTGGATTATATTGTAAAATGTTATGTACTTGAAATCTATTTTGTGGTTTGTCTAACATTTATAAACACAACTCTGGGAAGAATTAAAAATGGTTTTATTTCATGGAGATTAAGGGGAAAATATACCTGTAACTTGAGCCTTATCTTTGTACAGTGAATTTCACATTTCTATATGTCAACATCCTGATTGTTTTGTATGTTGATATGATGGCAGGAATCCCTAATAAAAATACACTGGAGAAAAGCTTTCTGCAGTTATGACAGTTCTTATGGTGAAAGATGTTTTGTAAATAATAGTTTTTTTGAGCATTCGTTGGTACATGATATAGTACAGATTTCTTAAGACTTTTACAGGGTTTTTTTACATACTTTTTTTTTTGTTCATCAGCTGGAGAGACACTAAGAAAGTGCTTTAGAATTAGATGGTATTAGCATGGCTTCAGACGCACTAACCAAGGGCCTAATGGTTTGCCCAGTTACCATGTAAAAGTTAGTCACAGTCTTGAATTTGCCCTGAAAAAAAAAAAATTACTACACACAGAATACAAATTGAGAAATGTGGTTTTAAAGTCAGGCCCTTGGCTGTAGACATACAGCTGCAACCTTTTGGTAGGCAGATCTGGCTAGAGTGTTATGCAGACAAGCTGTGTGGCTTTTGGATGGAGTTTGCTTACATTAAGTTGGTTTGGAACTCAGGCAGTGCAAGAGCATCGATAAGAAACATACAGTTTGCAAAGAGGCAATTGAACATCATTTTGGGGAGCTAAGTCAGAGAAACCAAGGCTACTTCTTGAGCACAAAACATTTAGATGCAGACATGTCTATACTGTATGCAAAATGCCAAAATCTAAATGGACCCTCTGGCGATCTGAAATGTAAAGGGCTGGGACTATATAGTACAGGTAGACATATTTCTTCAGTTAAAAAGGTGTGGGTTATAATGCTACCTTCAAAAGAGGTTGCATTCTTTAACATAAGAATACAGCATTATCCTCCTCAATATTTTTTGCATTCTAAGTACTTAGCACACTTATGAAAATAGCATGTATTCTTTGGGTAGAAATTCAGCATTCGTCATAAATTCTTTCTGAATAATGACACACAAAGTTTCTCTAAAATTACAACTCACTGAAATGTCATGCCATATGTGCATTTGAAGAAATCAGGCTGCATTGATAGGCAGTAATGGTTGCTGTAGGTCACTGTTAGGACTTTACAACAGCCATATTGGCCAAACTGGAGATCACACGCACTGGAATGCAAGAAACTTAATCTGGAAATCAAGGTACATTTCTCAACTTTTTGTTTTGTTTTGTTGGTTTTCGTTTTTTTTTTTAAATCTGAAAGGAACTAATTGTGTCTTCTGTTTGTATGGATTTGCTGTAGGTTTTCTTACAGCTGTGTTTTATGTGGAAAAACGTCTCTGAGACACCATTACAGCTGTTAAATGTTATGCTGCAAGACTTACTTCGATACTCTTATGTCTTTCATTCTGCCCCTCTACAAAGGCGAATCCTTCATTAGCCTTACTCTCAGAAATTTGTAGGAGCTGCTCTGACGTTTTGAAGCTGTCTTGCTTGCAGCTGCTATCAAGTAAGGCAGGTTATCGCTGTTCATCTCAGCCAGATGAACTACCTGCAGCAATTCCATCTTACAAAGGTTCAGAACTTGCTGTTCTACCTGTCTTGTAGCTCCCTCCCAGAAAAGATGGGCACCATCTGACCCTGTAAAGTGATGCTTAATGGTGTAGTGGCAATTTAAAGCTGTGGCCTAACTCTTATAATGGAAGTTTTCCTGCTATAACCAACTGCAGCTCAGTGCTTCTGCATTACAATGAAGAACAAGAAGGCAAGAATTTCTACTCCACAATCATGTAGTGGAGGAGTGCCAAATATGGTTATAAAAATAAAAATGAAACATGAGCATGAAAAAGTACCTGCTCTGTTTATTTCATTCTGACTTGTCCATCTTAGCTTGCTTTTAATTTCAATGCAGATAGGTTTGCTGAGATCATGAAATGGCAGATACTTCAGAGAAGTGAAGTGTCCTGATAAACAAACACAGCCTACTAATTGCTAGTCCCAAAAGATAAAAGAGAACACATAATTGGTTTAAATGGACTATAAATTGAGGTGAAATATGTTACATTTCTAGGTCTGAAGAGTAATTAACTATATTGATTGAATACTGTATGTATTATTGGAAAGAGCTGTATACAGCAGAACATGGAAACCCTCTCAATTGCAATGCTATATATCCTATTTAGAGTCTGTAATAAAAAAACCTACTGCATGTAAAGTCTTCTAAAAAGTCTGTGTTTAGAACCACTTCAAAATATTTTATGATTTTCAGTATTATGCATAGGAATAGTTTCCTAAAGAGATGTTTTGAGAGGGCTGGAGGTATTTTTAAATTAACTTCCAGTGCAATGAACCTTGCAATAAAAATGAAAATGTCACCTAATGTGTCCCCTACTTTCCTCAGATCAAATCTTGAGATCCGTCTTCCCATAGATAGAGCTGGGTGGAAATAATGAGAGATGCTTTAGGTATGGGGAAAAAGGACTTCTGCAAAGCCAAATACAAAAAGCAGCTGAGCACAACGTTTGCTTAAATCTTGTTCTCAGGATCTAATTTAACAGACGTAACCCTCACTCAGCAGGTATATGGCCACTGGAAATGCCAACCTCAGTACCACAGCATCTCATGAACTCCGCATGACCACCACCACGCCTTTACTCGTTTTGCCTAGCTGATGGCATTTGCCATTTCAGTCTGAGATCCTGGTGTGTCCACAGGGAACTGTAACAACAAGGGTGCTGTAAGGAGATGTCTGCGCTGTGCTAAACCGGCGCAAAAACAAAATAAATGTCAACTGCTAGTGAAAAACAGGTTGAGTCACCTTTCTTCATAGCTGCCTATCCTTGTTATTTCAACCTACTGCCTTTTTGGAATAAACCTACTGTTAATTACAGAATAGCTGGGTTGTATTTTCTTTGGACAGCCCAATAAAAATACTATTAACTCTATTAATTTTGAGACCATTATTCTATTGCCACAATTTTCTCCATCTCAGGTGGATAGGACGTCCTCTTCCCTTCTTTTGCCTCACCCTCTCTCCCACACATTGCTTTCCCCCAAAATTATCTTGGAACCTCAGAAATGAGATAAACAGCATATCTCTAAAGAGCATGATTTGGTACGAGTGCACAGAGAAAGGACTGATCTCTTCTTTTAATGTGTGAGCAGTGCCTTTGTCATTACAGTAGCATAGCTGGCATGTTTTTGTGGGAAGGCAGCTCAGAGGCTGGAAACAAAGAGCTGCTATTGCCAACC